GAATCGATGGCAGAAGATCATTAAGCAAATTTACGTTCCTTCCTGGAAAGCTCGAGAATTTGGGGAATAATTATAATATTATTGTCATATTGCGAATTTACATTCATGGAAAATTTGAAGATGCAAAAATCTTCAAATGATATTAATTATAATATCTGTTGTAAGAGAAATGATTTAATTATGAACGTAGAGTCTAATTATCACGCTGCGGATGTTCGTGTGTATGTGGAAAATTTAAAAATGCAAAAATCCACAGAAATAAGGATAATAGGAAAAAATTATTATTCGTTACTTAATGAACGAAAATTCGAACTCGTCGAAGTGTAAAACATAATTTTTGTTACTTAATTTACGGAAGAATTTTAGAGTTTACACTGTCGAAGGAAAAGAAGAAGAATTATTTTCTAACGCGTCAAAAAATTCACAACTTTGTCTATTAGACAAACGAAGTTAATTAATTTTTGGAAAATATTATATTACGATGAAACCGTGTTTTTCATTTTATGGTATTTTATTATTCACTCCATTTTATTACCGGCTAATGTAATTAATATAGTACATTATAACATACGGCTGAGAGCATGATTCTCATGAGTCAGACTGGCAACAGAACGATCGTGAAGCAAGAGCGGCAAAATGTTCTGACCTTTCAAAGAATGTACCCGTAAAGTTCTATTGCGCGTTGAGAATGACTCGAACTCGAAGATTCGTAAATGGCCGGGATCCAATTCGCTAGAAATGTACACTGGCATTCTCGCATTATAGATTCTGCTAGGTGACCAAATTAATTGAAATTAACAGGTTGGAAAATGAAAATTTACGATTATGGTCGCGACGAAACCCCGTCTGAATCATCAATGCGAGCAACTGTACCGTAAAATGTAATCTATTAATTATTTCGCATTTTATTCGATTATTCGTTTCATCTTGTTTATTTTTTCATTTTTCTTCACCATTATTCACCTTGGTATCAGCTCATTTTGAAACTAGGTGAACATACGTGAACTATATTTTGGTATCGATCTTAATTACGAGAGACGTAATTATGCATGAATTTCGAAAAAGTATTGTCCTTGTGGCGAGTCTAATTTACTGTTACTCGTTAACTCTAATTGAGGTGTAAAATTAGATGTGTATCGTTGGTAAGTGGAACGTGCTACAATATTACTCAGCGTATCATTCTACAGCGTTGTAATACATATAAGTGTTCCCCGGTTTATCTCATTATTTAATCGTATAGCCTTTAATTTATCTCAAAATTAGGAACACTGCATAACGTTCTAAATGATACCTTAACTGTTCCGTAGAGTATTGTAACGTATGTACGGAATATTTGCACAGAATGCGGTTTGCAACTATTGTAGAGCAGAGCTTTGAACAAAGCAAAGATTTGGGGCACTAATCGCACAGTTGAAAATTCCACGTATAATTTCTCCATAACTTGTGTATAAACGTATGCGCATACAGATTTATCTTTTTAATTAATTAATTAATTAAAGGAATCGAAGTTTATAACAAGTACCTACCTCATTTTGAGTATTTTATACTATTTTGGGTAAATTCCTGTGCTTTCAAACTGCAAACGTAAATTGCATTTTATTTTGAAATTGTCATACTTTTACATAATTAATCTGAAAACATAATTAATCGCGTTTAATGTTCGAATCACGCGATAAGTATTCTTAACAGTGTACACAATTAAAATGTAGCTTGTCGAGCGATTCTATAATTCCAACATATTTCTAAATACGATATTTGAATCTTCTAATATCTATGCGCGACTTTTCTGAATCATGGATCCAGACGATCATCATTTGTCATCGATCAGTATGTTATTATTGACAGTTTTTATATTATTGTTGGCTTTAGTTTATAACTGATAACAATAATTTATTATATAAACTAATTATATATATAATATATTATATATTATATATTATTATATTATATATTATATATATTATATGTTATTATATTATATATTATATATATTATATTATATAACTGATAACTTATTATTAGTTATATAATATATAATATATAATATATAACTCATAAATAAACTATATTCTAATTAAATATAGCAACATTTATTGTTAAATTATATTACGGATTGAAACTGTATTAACTGTCAAATAAAATAAAATTTTGCAACAGTATCAAAAAACAAAATGACAATGCCTTTTCATATAAAATTTGTATCGTAGAAACATAGAGGAAATAAGAAGAAGATTTGACTCGCAATAATTCGATCATCGCAGGTTTTCCATTTAATTTAGCATAAGGAAGTAGCATCGATACTCTCAACCGCGCCCTGCGTCATGGACTCGACATTTACGTTGACTGACATTCATCGATGCACCTCGCCACCGCTTCCTTTTTTCGAATCCGCGGTGCTGGTTCAATCGTTCTGGTTTCACGAACACGCGAAATTATCGTCGAAGATACTCCGATTTCCCTCAGCGCGGCTGTTTTCTTTCGCCTGTTGCCGATCGGTGGCCGCGACACGGTTTTGAAATTGCACGGAATTGCACTCTTTTATTTATGTAACGTATCGACGTTAACGCACGACGAGAGAACGGACGCCGGGAATTTAAAGCGATTACATAGTTGAGCAAAAGTTGTGCAATTGCTGTGAATTACATCCGAGCCAAGTTTCTCTTGTTCCTTAATGTTACTTACTGCTGCTCGCTGTTGCTCGCTGCGAATTAAACTGGAATTAACGCTGGAACTTGGAGAGCGGTCGGAATGACCAATTCGTAATTTCGCAGAATGGAAATTCTGCAGATTTCGAGATTTAACGACGCGAAAGAAAGAGAGAGATTTGAATGATCTTTTTTTTTCACAAAATGCTATATAGACGAGATATGAAAGCTTGCTATCTTCGTTCAAATTTCCTTCTTGTTTCTTCGATACAAATTTTATATTATATTTTGTTTATAAAATTATTTATATTTTATTTATATTATATATATTATATAGATATTGTATATATTTTATTTATATTATATATATTATATAGATATTATATATATTTTATTTATATTATATATATTATATAGATATTATATTTATATTATTTATATTATATTTATATTATATATAAATAAAATTATTTATATTTTATATTATATTATCCGTAAGTAGTGTCATTTTTTGATACTGTGCAAAATTTTATTTTATTTAACAGTTAATACAGTTTTAATCCATAATATAATTTAACAATAAATGTCAACATATTTAATTGGAATACAGTTTATTTATGTTATAATGAGTTAAATTATTGTCATTAGATGGCGATATTTATTAAATTTGAAGGAAACGACATTACTCATGGGTACCCCTAATACTTTGATCGTCAATGATTCTAGCGATTCTTCGTGAATAGAAATTCATGTTATTTAGTAAATATCACGATAATTTTAATATTTTGTACGTTGTCGCATGTTATATACATTCTATGGATTTTTTCTTCAGATTCAGTTTAGATTTTTCTCTGACTTTCTTTTTAAAGATTGAACATTAACCTCGCACTCGTGTTACGAATTTCAAAAAAAAAAAAAAAAAGAAAAGAACAATGGAAGATAAAGTCGATGGATTTTGATTGCCGACAGCCTGGAATAATCCTCGTCCGATTGTACATCGAGTATGGAACGGAATGTCGACTGTCAAAAACACGCGTAGTAAAGTTATCGATAAAAGTTTCGCTCACGATGAAATTCCGTTCGGTAAAATCGGTTCTCCAGTGTACATTTATCGCGCGATATGCATATTAGAGGGAATAAAAGGGTAATGAATGCAGGGCAGCATAAAATGGAGTTTCATCAATTTGCTTTTAATTAGTTTGTTATATCATTCGCTGGCGTCTGTCACGCAGTGAATAGTCGGCATTAATTCCCCGCGTCCTATCCTGCTTCTTTAAAGTGAAAACTATTCAAAGTGCGCCATAAAAGGGATGGCGGATTAAAGGAACGTAGAAAGCGAGTGGCAGAAGAAGTCTTACACCTCGATGTGGTATAGGGCCATCGTGTATGGTTGGCAACAATGCCAAATGAAATTCATTAAAAAGCGTGTTAGGTATAAAGGAGCGTACGAGCCGGCGGTGGTGCTTTAATAACAGTCGAAAAAGAAACGAAAGGAAAGGAAAGATAATTATACGGCTCCACCGCGATTGTTCAACAATATTTACGCGCAATGTGCAATTAGTTCATGTTCGCGTGTATTAAAATTAACGACTCGCACGTCCTGAATTTTTTTTTTTTTTCTTTTCATTGATGTTGTGTGTATGCTGCGTGGGTTTATTCATAAAAGTCTCCGAACACTTGGAGAAATCTTTTGTGAAATTTCATTATTATGATTATTATCAAGTTATTCATCTCACAGAGATTACAAAGATTTTTAGAGGGTCAACTATCCGTTGTAACAAGCTTCTTTCTTACAATATTCGTTAAAATCATCTTTAATACTTATACACATATAAATTATTAATAATAGATAAATAATATATAAATTATTAATAATATATAAATTATTGTTGTAACGCCCAATTACTTTTCATGTACACTTCTACGATTCGTAACGTATGAAATAATAAAAATAGCACAAATAATTATAAATATATATAAATTTAAATATATATAAATTAATATATAAATTTCTCGATGCAGAATTTCGATGTAAATAGTACTAAATACATTAAGAAACAATATTCTGCTATGTCGCTTGAAATAAAAATTCTCTAGCAACATATCTCTGACAACAAATGCGAGTCTATCAATCTTCTCTTCGAGAATTGCCATTAAAAGGCACGATGAGACGCGCGCAAATGACAATTATCGGAACGAAAGTTGAAAAAAAAGAGCGATCGAGAGTAGGAAGAGTAGGAGTTCTAGATCTCTCAAGTGTTCGGGATTTAAAATTCTGAAAGGGCTTTTAAAAGGGTGGATCGTCGGCCCGAGGTGAATTTCCGCTGATATCGAATTGGCCTGTCGTGATTACAGACCCCGAGGGAGGATAGGGCAGCGTCGAGTCCTGGTAATCAGAATAATCACACACCCACACCGTCCCCGTCACCGGTTGGCGATGCACCCGCTGGCAGGGCTCTTATGGAGGCTGCGCTCCAGCAGGCCACTTCCGGATCTCAGCCGCCTCTTGTGGTGATACCGTCTGGATACTGGGTCGACGGTACCGATCATCGACACGCCCTGGACTCAGCTGGCAGGGCGTTACTTCCGGCGCAGCCTGCATGGCAACCCAGGATAGACCAGGACGACACCGCCAAATGTTACAGGCGATTCTTCGTCGGCAGGGTACGTCGATTATATTTTTCTACATACATATAACTTTGACCTGTTAAATGTCACTCGTTTATATAATTCGTTCGATTTGTTCCTATTTTTTCGACATTTAACGCGTCGAATCCGATTGATCAAGGTTTTACCAAATTGACGCGAACTCAGTTTCTTTAAATTTCGTAAAATTTCTGGAATCTTCGTGATTAGTCAATCAATATTTTTTAACATGTAATGGGGGGGGGGGGGGTTCTAATGTAACCCGATCTATAAAAGATCGAATTGTTACAAACGTTTTAAATTTTGTAAAATTCTGAAATCCGCGTGCTCAGTGAATCAATATTCTTTAACGACGTGCCACGCACGTCGAGAATTTTTTGTAACCCAAAATTGCAATATTTTCTCAGTTTTAAGTTATATTCCAGTGAAACGAAATAGGCAAAACAAATAATAAATTTATTACTTCTCAATAATTTCTATCCAGTGATATCATATACCAACGAGGTCAAAAAGAAAGCGACGAATTATTGTATACGGTTTGGTCACTCGTTATGGTCCGCAGTCAACATCTCGTCGTAATATCACGGATAGGTCAATTTGTTGAAGTTTCATGAAATTATAGAATCGAGATAGAGTTTGATATAAATTAATTGAACCTTTCGTTACTATGAAATTTAAAGGCCAAGCGTTACCCAACTGCTAAATAGCAGATGTTGTAAATATATGTGTACTTCTTTCACTATTTAGTAAGATTTTCGCACGGCACCACGTGCTTATTACGAACGTTTTCCAGTACAATTTGCTATTCGTTCTTAACTTGCTGATCTACCATCACAAGCAGAACCAGTTGCATTTTATTCAACCAGTTCATTAAATTTTAATTTAACTGATAACAATGTTATTTCGTTGATTAACGTTTATTGCGAAAAATAATTCGCTGTATGAAATTTTTAATGTGTAGAGCCAGTTTTTAATTTCAACTTTCAACAGTAATTTTCTCGTTAAAATTTGATGGAATTTTCATTTAGAATATTGCGCAATAAGTATTACGACGTTTTATACGCGGCTTAAATTAAACTGGCCGTTTTTAAAATAAATTAGTTATCAAAATCGACGGCTCTGTTTATGAGGGCACGAGCGTAGGAAACCAATTTTGCGAAATTTTAACCGGAAATTAGTTTCATAAAGTATTAATTGAAAATTTGCTCGGCCAAGTACAAATTGGAAATTAATTCTACGAAGTTGCTTCTCATTCGGGGTGAAAGTGTGTACAATTTTCACGTTTGTTATTTTCATTGCCCATATCCATTCATGTGATGATTTTGAATAGGTTTCAGTAAAAGAAAGTGCAAGTGGATTAGTTTGTGCATAAATCATTTCTCGCTTCAACTACAATTATTTTTGTACATGTATTTTTTTTTCAAGGATAGATATTAGCATATAAATTTATTATCATACATAAAATTCGTTCATTTAATATAATTTTGATATTTTAGTAATTCTAACGAAATTTTCATAGTTTAGTAATTTTGCTAAACATTAATAACCACGATCGAAATATCTTGTCAGCCCTATGTCGTTTATGCAACACCATGTGCACGATATCTCGCTGCAACGATGTCGTCGATCATGCAACATCATGGATACTCAAAATAGTTAATCTACTTAAAATAGCCTGTAATTTCAGATAAACTTACGCAACATTCTCTGATAATGGTTCTACTTTACTATACTACAGTACATACTTGAATTACAAATTATTTCCACGAAACATGTCGCATCTGCAACATTATAACGAAACTTTAATTTTGTGAAACGGTGCTGTCGGTTATTTTGCATTGATATTTACTGCCCACAGTAGCTTTGTGGATTATAATTATCTGTATCATCTTTTTCATAAAATTGTAACAAACACATGGACTCTTAGGACGCGATTTTTTAAAATTTTTCTAACAACAATTAAATTCAACAAAATTTAAACAAAAGAAAATAATAAAATTTGAAAGTACTAAATTGAACAATGATTCTTGTTTAAAGTGTCGCGCCATTTTCCCCAGTTCTGAAAACAAATTTAGAGCCAAAGACTTTCGAGCAAGGATGCACACGCCTACGAGATAAATCCGTGTATGTTGCTTTACATTCCGCGAAGTTACAGCAACGCCGAACTTTGCCGAAGTTAATTAATACCACGGCGCGAGAATCACGCGAAATCGGAACGTGTTTAGACTTCCGTAAACTGCATTGCACGCATAAATTCGGTATTGGTTATCGATCGGTGGCCAAGAGGTGTCCGAGCCGTATCGAGATATACTGATTTCCTGAAAGTTTCGTATCGTGATGTGGTCGGGGGAATTACAAGCGTCATTCGAAGCCGATAAAGCTTCGTTATCGAACAATTCCCGTTAATTTGCATATGTCTTTCGACAAATGTTCGATCTTGCGGATTAATCAACACCGTTTAACAACGAACTAGACTGTACGTTCCCATTCGGCGTTCGATTAACTAACGTTTTGCGGGTTACGTTGTTTCACGAAACAGATTTGAGCATTGGCCGAACGATATATTTCGATAAGAATGATCTGTCGAGTAATGTATCATCCTATTTAGCTAGATGTTTCATGATTCATATAACCGTGCGTCAGTTTATGAAACTATGAATTATTATTATTGCTATTTTACATTATTCGACCATCGAACGAAATAATCATCCAAATAATTTTCCAAGTTCTTCATAATCCTTGCACGTACATACGTCGACACGGGTTTCAGATAATCTCGCGTTCGATTAATCAGTATTTTTCATTATTATTTTCAATTTTCTAGATTCTTTTTTAATCCTCGTGCGTCGCGGATGATACTTTTGTCAGTTTCGTTTTTTTATTTGTATCTCCCGCTAAATAATGTTAATGAACTTTCCCCTGCTGTTTCCGAAATGACGATAGCAACTGAAATGATAATTAAGAAATCTCGTAGTAATTCGTTCCGGTGAGATCTGCCCAGGCATCCGTCACGAAATTGCTTTTCGAACGGTCGCTAAAACTGTAAATCCGCGATGATCATCGGGCAACGTTGGGAAGGAATCACGAGATTATACCGATTAACCAGCCTACCTTGAGCCGATTAGTCATTCTACGCTGAAACAATGCCTACCACGCTGCAGCCCGAAGCGTGAGCGCGCTGATGTTTGCTCGAACATCACCGTCCGTATCCTCTTCTTAATTACCTCATTGTACTCGAGTTATATGGCGTTATTTGAAAGAAATCATCATGGAAACGTGACTTTAAACTTGCGAGCGTCGTGCAAGAGATGCTCGTCAGACACAACCAAAAGAGCGAAGCAATTGTACGTGGAGCAAGTTCGCCGACTTGGCGAATGAATTTGGCTGGCGATCAAAAATTCAACGCGCAACGGGAGAATCGAGTCGAGATAAGGCATCGTTCATTGCGCTCGAAACGATGCTAGGGCTTTGATGATTCGCCTGGACGCGATATGCATCGAACTTACGGGACACGCGCGAGCCACGGGAATGTATCTAGATTGAGAAATTGTAAGACGCGAAATTTGCAATTCAACGAGCGCGATTTTTGTGAGATCCTACCTTTCGTTTGAAACACGTAATTTTCCATTGCGCGTTACGTCGAAACCGATTAATTAAAAAAAAGTTAAAAGAAGGCGTGGTGTCTTTGAAATTTCACGCAATTGAATTCTTGTAATAATTAATCTTTTAATTTTCCATTGCGCGTTACGTCGAAACCGATTAATTAAAAAAAAATTAGAAGAAGGCGCGGTGTCTTTGAAATTGAATTCTTGTAATAATTAATCTTTTAATTTTCCATTGCGCGTTACGTTGAAACCAATTAATTAAAAAAAAAAAAAAAGAGAAAAAGACGGCGTGGTGTCTTTGAAATTTCACGCAATTGAATTCTTGTAATAATTAATCTTTTTTTTTGTAATAATTAATCTTTTAATTTTCCATTGCGCGTTACGTCGAAACCGATTAATTAAAAAAAAATTAAAAGAAAGCGCGGTGTCGTTGAAATTTCACGCAATTGAATTTTTGTAATAATTAATTTTCTTTTTTGTCTAGGATGAAAAACTGCGAATTCGAAACATTGCTTTTGTAATGTTGCCTACTCCTCCCTTCGTAATACGTATTATTTTATGAACGCTGAATTGAACATGTTACGTTCACAGTTCGTTTAACCGAGTGTCTTAAATCGTGATCAACTTGCTTAAGCAATAATCGAGCGAGCATTAATTACCTTAATCGCGTTCCAACGCTATTCGCACGTTCGAAATTAACATTCCAGCGGAATTAAATCTGTTTACTTCCTACTATTGTAGATATACAGAGCTTACTATAGACGCTGAAGATAAGTTCGAGGTTACGTCGACTTTTTCAGAATCGGCTGACTCAATATTTTATTGCGAAGGTTGCACACATTTTTAGAAAATATCATGCGAAGAACTAATTTCTCCGTGTTTCTCTCGTAACTGCTGCAAGCACGGTTAACGGGCAAGGTATGCACATGTAAAACACCATGCGTGCCGCGAACCATGATGGCTCTCGGTGGATACAGGGTGATTAGAAAATAAATTCTTAGACGAGAAACTGTCAGTCTTTTTATAATAACGATATCCCGATATTTTATTATCTACGTATTTACCTGATTACTAGATTTAACTGATTGCGGACCATAACGAGCGACCAAACCGTATACAATAATTCGTCGCTTTCTTTTTAAACTCGGTACGATATCATTGGATAGAAATTATTGAGAATTATTGTCGAATTTATTATTTGTTTTGCCTACTTTATTTTACTTAAATACACTTAAAACTGAGAAAATATTGCAATTTTGGGACAAAAGAATTCTTGACGTGCGTGGCACGTCATTCCAGCGCAAGAAGTTAACTTTGCTCTTTCTTTACTCTTACAAAATAACAGCAAGCTTGAATTGTAAATTTTTTGACTAGTTCGTTGGTGTCATATTTTCATTTAAATAACGATGAAAA